CTTTGATGGAATCCTTATTTTTGCTCCTTCTTAAACTTGTCAGGGTATAAAACTTTCAAATTATACACGAACAAGGTATAACAGATATGATTTTCTACTTAACTTATTACATTCATTGCTATTGAAATATATTTTTATAGATTTATTCTATATAGTCTTTTTGTGGTGCTATGTTAAATATCAGAGTTATTTATCTGTCTTTTTGTTTTTCATGCCTATGCTATCTCACTTAGTTCGTTAGCTTTGTTGTACTGAATTATGTATCTAACTCCTCTTTTTATGTGTATGCTACCTAACTTACTTGATTAACTTAGTGTATAGAGTTATGGCTCCGTTCACGTGCCCTTAAATCCGGCTTGATCCGCTTATTTTTTCATCCGGAACAGTGTTTTTCTCTCACAAATTCCTCCAGCATTCCTCCAAACCATCCAGATTCCTTCAGAATTCAGACAAGCGAACATGCCCTATGTATCTAACTTGTCTTTTTATGTGCATGCATGGTAGCTAACTTATTTGACTAACTTACTCTTAAGACTAATGCATCTAACTTGTGTTTTGTATTTGTTATTTTAAATATTAAAATTAAAATATTTTGCAGATCTTCCAATTGAAGGAACAGATTCGCTCAATGTCATAGTTATAGAGAAGCTGAGATTATCGCTGCAGAAGTTATTATTTATCTGGTTTTGGGAAGGTTGCATCATATTATGGAATTTACTGTGTAGTATACGTTGTAAAAGTTACTTTTATTTCATCCCGCACCCTTTTATAAACCATTTTCCCCATGTTCTTGGATGATTAGTTTCTGAAAAGAGAAAAAAGGCTGATGAAACCTAAAAGAGAATGTGGGAGCACTGCTAAATTAGTACTGCTAAGTTATTTGTCGAAGTTATATTGTCTAATTTAGTTATCTAAGTTACGTGCACACGGTTCTCCAAAAAGAAAGAAAAAAAATGTGAGAACACGTGAGATCCAGCACGTCTGCGTCCAGCACGTGCCCGAAAAGAGAATGGAATGCCTGCGCCCGAAAAGAGAAAGAGAATAGTATACTATCCTAAAATTATGTCAGGTGGGAATGAATGATTTTCTATTAAGGTAAGTAATATGGTCTGAAAATCGTTTGCTTGATTCGTTCTAAATGAATGTTCGCCAATTAGTGGCGTCGAGCATCGTCTTAGGCTAGCTATAGCCTATAGGAGGTTATATATACTCATATTAAGCTATTATAGTATTATTATGTAGGACTTAAAAAACGGCAGCTGCGGAGAGACGACGACGACCGATCCTGGCGGTCTATGTGTGTATGTACATAGAAAAAATAAAGAACGCATGAACATGCACTTACATACGCTGATGATACGCACACTGCCTAATAGCACGTATGACACACCCTCTTTGTCAAAGCTCGATCGGTAGTCCTAGCAGTCCTGTACGACTACTGTACATCGCTTCCGAGGCCCTATTCGGCTTATCCCATATCCGGTTTGTTTGGCTTTTTTTTTCAGCCGGAACAGTGATTTTTCTCTCACAACATTTCAGCTAGAATATATTTTTCAGCCAAGTTTCACCAAGCCAAACAGGACCCAATTTGGCTGGCACGCAGGTTTGCTCGTGTTTTCACGTGTGTTCAAAGTTCAAACCTTGAGCATGCACACAAGGTCAAAAGGGACTGTGCTCCAAAAGATCCAGCAACAAGGTCCGGTCCCCAACGGCAACGTATGAACGATGAAAAGAAGAGCGCGCGATCGAGCGTGGTCGCCGGCCGCCGATCCCGAGGCACACGGACTCCCTGGAGATCATCGGTGGATCACGCAACGCTGCCAGCGGGCCGCGGAGGAAGCCGATGGCCCCGTGCCATGCCGCGCGCTTTCGCTTTGTCCAAGAGAAAACCAAGGAAGCAAAGCAAGGCGAGCGCGCGCCTTGCACCGCGACGGACGGGAGCGGCGCGGCGCGGCGCAACAAAAGCTATGCGTGGGGTGGGATCGTCGGGCCCGACCGATGGATGGATCGATCTCGTGGGATCGGATCCCGTTCCCGCCATCATCATCTTCGTCTGTCGTCGTCGTCTCGCTCGCCCACTGGCTCCTCTGCTTTGCCCTGCGTTCTCGGAAGCCGCGGCGCGACACGACGGTGACACGGGCGCCGAGAAAGAGGAAAAGCTAGCGCCGCTGGCCTCCCTCTGGCACGCGGGCCCGACGGGCCGCCGGATCGCGAGCCGTACGTGGCCGTGCCGCTTTGGTCTTTACCGCGTGCAACCAAAGCTACGGTCCCGTCCCGTGCGATCCAGTCATCCAGACCCAGCCTACGGTTGGCCAGTGCCAGTCCGCGCCCCCTCAAAAGCCTCGTGGGCGTTTTTGTGTTTTCCTTGCTGCATGGGGTGGCCGTGATTTTCCTCCGGCGAGGCGGCGATGAGGGGACTGAGCCATTGAGGGGAGTTTTGGAGGCCGGCGGGCCGGGCGCTGGCCTAGTGGCGCCGGCGCCGGCTTGCATGGTACGCAACGATGGACCGCCACCCTGCCTGGCACGCGTGATCTGCTTCCCACGTGCGAGCCTACGATGCTACGGAGTACGTGTACCCCTACCCCGCCAGGTCCTGTTCGCTGCTCTGAAACTTGGCTGAAACTGGTTGAAAAATACTGCTCAAGCTGAATTGTTGTGAGAGAAAAACACTGTTCCGGCTGAAAAAACAAGCCGAATAAATTGAATATGAGGTAAGCCGAGCGAGGCTAGAGTACTACGCCTACTAGCAGTAGGAACACTGCAGCTGACACCGTCCGCACCGCTACACGCTCAGCATGGGGACATCCCACGGCCTCCATGATCCGATCGGGGTCGCAATATTACTGCTCGCTGGAAGTCTCTGTAGCGAGCGTACGTATGAACACGTGACCAGCCGGCCGGCAAACGCGTAGGCGTAGATTCTGCTAGATCTGCAGCCCGTCCGTCAGTCCGTGCCATGGCCCAAGTGATGCTGCAGCCTGCAGGCACGCAGGGGCAGGTCGAGGCCGCCGTAGAAAGGGCACGGGCAACATGCCAACGGGCGGCGCGTGAGAATTTCCGGGGAACGCGGCGTGCTCTACTGCTCTCGTTCTCTCCCCCGCGGCCCGTACAACTCACGAGCCGGGAGTGAAGAAGTGGGTTTTGCGCGGCGCAAGAGTGGAGGACATGAGCCACGGAATTGATGGAGAAGCCCGCAGGCCTGACATCCAGTTCGCCATCACGAGCTGCAGCCTGCGGGGGAGCCTGAGAGGACGGTGCAGTAGCAGCAGCTGCTGCAGCGAGATCGAAGAAGGCTCCTGACGGGAGGCGACAGCCCAAGGCCCATGCAATTTAAGAAGCAGGTGAGAGGAGGCCCATGCGACGATGGCGAAGGTACTGGGAGTACCACGGAGACACAACTTGCAATTTAAGCCGAGCATTACGGCCCTGGCACTGGTACTCACTGGCCGAGCCAGGAATTTTAGGGAGCCTGGGCGTGGCAAAACCACATGGTTTCTATGTTCGCTAGTTAAGATATCAACTTGACACTGCAATTAAAAGAGAGAATGAAATGATTTCTTATTAAGAAACCATGTCTATAGGGAAACTAAGACATAAAGAGATGTGATAGGTAGATGAGTAAGAGAAAAGATATATCACTAGACAAAAGTTTATTATGTAGAAACTATTCAACAAGAATATACTCCCTCCGTCACGAAAAGAAAGACGTTATGAGATGTGTGCTGGTCAAACTTTCTTAAATTTGACTAACTTTATAAAAAAAATATTAACAACATTTGTATTACTAAATAAATTTATTATGAAAATATATTCCGAGATTTATCTAACGATACTAATTATGCATAATAAATATTAATATTTTATATATATAATTGGTAGAGTTAAAATGTTTTACTTCTCGGGAAGTGAAAATGATATTCTTTGTGGGATGCAAGGAATAGTTTCTATGTGTATATAAACTAATAGACATAGAAACTATCTATGGTTTTTAGTATTGTTAGTGCCATAACAAAGCTATGTAAAATAGAACACAATCATATAATATACAAGCAAAATTAGACAATCAAAATAGCATTAAGTTTTAAACTGAAATAATCACTAAGTCCTAGGGGGCGCCTGCTCCCTCATCTCTGTACTACCTCATCTCTGTACGTAGCTTTTATTTTGTTTTTTGTTTTGAGGGAAATCTGTACGATAGCTATGACTAAGGCCATGTTTAGTTTCTACATGTGTTCCTAAAATTCATGTCACATCGAATGTTTAGACACATGCATAGAGTATTAAATATAGACTAATTACGAAACTAATTACACAACTTGCGACTAATTTACGAGACTAATCTTTTAAGCCTAATTAGTCTATGATTTGACAACGTGGTGCTACAGTAAACATGTGCTAATGACAGATTAATTAGGCTTAAAAAATCATCTCGCAAATTAGCCTCCATCTATGTAATTGATTTTGTAATTAATCTATATTTAATGCTCTTTATTAGTATCTAAATATTCGACGTGACATGAATTTTAGGAGCGATTAAAGAACCAAACACCCCCTAAGACTGGCCATAACGTATGTTGTTTTCTGCGGTGCTGAAAGAGGAGAGAGAGTGTGTGTTGGAGCATCGGTGCCTATCATTGTGGCCATCAATGCCAAGTTCAAATTTTGTTGAGCCACCTTCCTCGGTGCCTGAAAGAGTAAAAATGATTTTTCAATCGGGCATTGGCCCTAGATGATTAAAATATTATATCCCAGGCGGTCGTCGGTCCCGACCGTTGCGGTGCTTCCTAGCCGTTGCTGCTTGTTGCATATATATACTCACATGAACTAGTTCAACAAACACACACCAGGCGCATATCAAAAGCAAAAGTTCAAAGATGGACAACTCTTCCTCTTCTAGTTTCTCAAATCTTCTCAACTCACACATTAGTCCAGAAGCACCAAATCCAAACACACAGTAGTACCAAAACTTTCAAAACTTCCATCAGCGGCAACACTATCCCATGAACTATCCACCCATGCATGGTCCCTACCCACAAAATATCAACAATCCCTTTGGAGGACCACCAAATTTCCAGCACTTCCCTTTCCCACCAGCTGCCTACCATGGAGGTTACCACGACAATGGTCCAACATCTCCAATTAGACCGATGGACTTCTTTGGACCTAGTGGTGGCAGCAACTCAAGGGGTGATGAGAGCAGCCCCATCGCTTCATCTTCTCCGGTGTCCAGAGCCCCTCCAATGAAGTCAATACCTATTCGTATTGAAGAAGACAGTGAGAGCAACACTAAAGATGACAACGGGCACAGAATGCCCGCATGCCCGCGGGCATGGAACCCGATGGGCAAGGATACGGGCACCACTTCTTGCCCGCGGGCATGGGCGCGGGCACCATCCTGAACCTAGAGGATTGTTCTTCGTGGGCAAAGAAATTTGCTATCCTCGCCCACGTATCCGCGAGACCCGCTCCATAGGTCTGACATGTGGGACCTACAAGCAAATATATGTATATATACACAATTCCTAGGGTTTATTCCTGATTCAATCCACACCCTACCCCACTCAGCCACCCCAATCCCCGCTGCCGCCCCTTCGTCTCGATCTCTCGGAGACTTGGATTCTCACCTCGCGCTGCGCTCGGCCGGCAGCCGCCCTCGCCGCCTCGAGCCATCACGCGGGCGAGGCCACGACCACGAGGGGGGGTGCCCCTACGTGACCGCCGCCGCCCATCCAAGCAGCCCCCTCCCCTGTCCCTGGCCAGCCGCCTGCCCCTAACGCCCAAGCCTTGTGACCATGACCCTCCCTGTCTTCGTCGAGCTGTTCTCTTTGGCCGACGGCTTTCCTCCATTCAAGCAGCGCCCCCTGCTCCTTGGCGGACGGCCGGGTCTACTTGTGCCTCTGTCTGCGCCAGCCGCCAGATCTAGGTAATTTCGTGCCATTCACTTCAATGGTTCAACTAATTTTGTTTTGTAGACAAGATTGGGTGTAGGGTTCTTGCAAGCTAGAGTGTTGAATTGTGTCGTTTGTTTTCATGTAGTTGCAATGGCAACCCCTAGCATCTCCCGAGTGCAAGTTTCCCATGGGACTGGTGCCTCCGGTCCTCTTGTGGCTACAGATGCTAATGTTGATAGAGAGGTTCTAGACGTATCTGAGGGAGAAGATGATGAAGAAATTGATGTTCTGTTTGTTATCGTTGTTCTGTTATCGTCGAACAATGTATGGTTGGCTAGTTGCATCTCGTCTCTCGTATGTGTGCGAAACAAATAATGTATGAACTGTTGAATGACTATGTTTAATGTTATCAATGTGAACGATTTGCTGTGAATCTGTATCTTCATATTTCTTGTAATGCACTATGGTTTATGTATATGCTCAACTTGGCGGGCACACGGGCATGCCCGCGGGCATGAAATGCCCACGGATGGAGGGCGCGGGCGTGGTTTGTTGCTCGTGGTGGGTGGAGGGCGCGGCGTGGGCAAGAGATTTAGCTGGTGGGCATAGGCGTAAGAAGGTAGTATCCGCGGGCACCACGCCCGTTGCCATCTTTAAGCAGCACAGATGATGGTGCAATGGAGGAGGTCACAAACTTTGGCGTGAAGAGGAGAACCTACGCCTAGTAAGTGCCTGTCTCAAGAATTCAAATGATCCCATCGATGGCAATGGAAAGCCTCGAGATCGCTTTTGGAAGGAAATTGCAGCTGAATATAACAAGCATGCTCCTAAGCAGCAAAGAAGAACAACAATGCAGTGCAAAGAACACTGGCACAAGAATATGTCTATCATTAACAAGTTCAATGGAGTCTACAGTGATGTGAAGAATAGACATGGAAGTAGTCAATCTGATGATCAGCTTATGGAGGAGGTGTGCGAAGTGGAAGGGACTTATGAAAAAGAAACGACCATTCCCATTGGAACATTAGTGGGCAGCAATGAAGGACCAACCTAAATGGGCTAGAGCTTACCCAGTTCATGAAGTGCAAAAGAGGATTAAGCTGAATTCATCTGATGCTTACACCTCTTCTTCAGCTCAAGACATAGGTGCATCTATTGAATCACGGCGACCGCAAGGGAGAGATGCAGTCAAATCTGAGAAGAACAAGAAAGGAAAATAGAAGTGTTCAGAAGCAAGTCTTTTTACAGAGGAAAGCATGCAAAAGTTTAATGAACTACAACTACAGAAGTTTATGGCTACTGGAAAAATGGCTGAAGCAGCATTAGCTCAAGCTGCAGCTGATGACAAGAATGCTGAAAATAACAAGGAGAGGAACAAGTTAGACAAACTTGCAACATATATAGAGCTATTTAACAAGGATACTTCATGTTACGATGAGGATACCTCATGAAGACATAAACAAGTCTTGGATTACCTAGCTACAGAGCTTTTCCTTTGAAAAGCTCAGTTTGTACCTTTATTATTCATTGTGTTTGTACAAGTAGTTTATCATGTACTTTCCATCATGTGTTTCTAGAAGTAGCTTGTCATGTACTTTCTATAATGTATCATGTTCCCTATATATGTATTGTCCTGTTATGTCAATTTATAATGTATTTAGCACTTTTATTAAGTACATTACAGCAGCCAGCAGTACAAATATTTATTTTATAGCTCACGTGTATAATTTATTTCATTAGAATATAGCTATTGTAAAAAGTTGCGGTTCCAGTTCCAATGTTGGAATCTAGGTGTTGCAGCACATTTGGATTTTAGTGATTTGAATCTATCTGTTACAACACATTTGGATTTTAGTGATCTGAATCTAGCGTTTTGCAGCACATTTGAATTTTAGTGATTTGAATCTAGCCGTTGGAAACTAGCTGTTGTGACAAGCTTTTCCCTATAAATAGAAGGTGATGCTCTCAGAACAATTCACACAACAAACCAGTACACACCTCCCAGCATACTCTCATCTAGGGGTCTGAGGGAATGGCATCAAATCCACATGACCCTACAGCAAGTTCTCCTGAAGAACTTACAAACAGGATTAACATCCAGCAGTTCTTTTGGGAGTTCATGAATGATCCAGTGGAAGCTTAGATTGAGGCAAAGTTTAAAGGACAGATTGAGGCTCAACTAGGAGGTACGTCCAATGACCAACGTCAATTTCCTAGAAGGCATATAGAAAGAAATCGTGAAGCTGCTAGTGATAGGCTGGTTGCAGACTATTTCTCAGAAAATCCAGTGTACGATGATGTTTAAGTTCCGGCGTAGGTACCGTATGAAGCGTCACCTATTCGTACAAATTGTACATACCTTAAGTACTTGGTCTCTATATTTCTGTCAAATGAACGATACATTTGGGAAGATGGGCTTTTCACCATTGCACAAATGCACATTTGCTATGTGCATGTTAGCATATGATACACCTGCTGACATGTGGGATGAAAATTTCAGAATAGGTGAAACCACAATTATTGAGTGCATGAAAAAATTCTGTCAAGGTGCGATTGCAAATTTTGATAAAAAATACCTAAGGAGGCCAACTAGAGAATATATTCAACGTTTAGTTCACATAGGTGAAGCTTGTGGTTTTCCTGATATGTTGGGAAGTCTAGTTTGCATGCATTGGCAATGGAGGAATTTTCCAAAGGCATGGAGGGGCAGTATACCCGTGACGACATAAAATATCCTAGTGTCATGCTAGAAGTTGTTGCTTCACATGATCTTTGGATATGGCATGTATTTTTTTTGGTGTTGCTAGGTCCAACGTAACAGAACCGACCAATTATACGAAATTAAGTAAGAAAATCATCCGTCCGAGCAGACGATTGAGCAAACTTAAGCCCGTATAACCCGGTAGTCCGTGAAATCGCGAAGAATTTCAAACCAACTTCCATTCCAGCCAAGATCGTAATAAGTTTAGCGGTCACCATCACATATTACATAAAAGTTGGGGTATACATCTAGTTTAAACATAGTTATTACAAAACCAGTTCGAATAAAAGTAGGGAAGTCATTTGTTCAAAACCACACACACACTCTTGCGGAGTTTAAATATAGTGCCAAAGAATGATCATCTCCAACACAAAAGCATTAGGCGAGGCGTAAGGAATGACCATGCCCATGGTCCTAAGCATCACCCATCGAAGGATACGTGCGGTTGATACTGATGGTGTAATACATGCGCCCATCGCAACAAGTGGAATAAAACCACGATACGAGAAACCCTACTAGACTTACCCGACATAACCGAAAATAAATGACACCAAGGATTATGAAGGGCTTTATAGTAGGGTCATGACTCATTTGCAAAAGAAGCATTTTAGCATTTCAAGAACCCTTCTAAAAGCATTATTGTCAAGTTAATTATTATTCTTTTAGAGTTCGACTAGATTTGCACCTATACTAGAGCACACATATGATTAAGCGAGATAATGATCTTCATCATTAAACAACTTCCATCTTGTCATATTCACTATAACTGTCCAAGTGTTCCATAAACATTTACTACGATGAAGTTTCAAGTCAAGTGCTCACTATCCGGGAGCGATGGCGAAGAATCGATTCTAACCGGTGGTGATTTATTCCTTACACAAACCTCACTCACCCGCTAAAGTGAGATATTGATCACCGAGTAGTATCTCGAGAGAACCATATGTACCCGGGGCCGACCATTTCGCACTTTGGTCTTATCATCCCACCCCGTGTCCTATATTATGTAAGTTTTGGTGCGGGCAATCTACTGCCCGAAAAATCTATCATGGTCGGAAGGTACTTTATCGATGACTAAATGTAAGGCATCGTTCAACATGACTCGAGGCCCAACAATGTCGGTCCTTAATACGAGACGGAAACACTACGATTCAAAACTACGCAAGTCTCCGTTCTCAACTTCATTTAACACTTAGTTATACCATGACTTCATAGTCATCCAAGCGAGATCCGGTAACCACCTATAGCTCGCAGGTGCGAAATCACCCGACTTCTACCGGTCTAAGCCAAAAGCATTTTTCATGCGGATAACAGGTAACAAGGATATAGTATAACAAAGATAAACAAGGTATAATGCAAAGAACGGTTGCAAACAACAACTCCACGGCGTAATGCATCAATTAAAGTAAAACATTTAATTAAATCATTCGCAAAGCGGGAGAAAAATGCTCGGGGCTTGCCTTTCTCGAAGGAGCTCGGGACGGTGATCGAGGCACTCCGGAAGTTCCTCAACGTCCTCCTCGCCGGCGGCACTTCTGTGGCTGCACCTCTGCGCGCCTCTCGGGCTCCTCGGGTATGACGATTTGGGTTCTCGGTTTGCGATCTCTGTATGATGCAATGCGTGTAAGTGCTTATGCAATCGGTGCATCGGATGAGATGAATACAATGGATATGTTTGAATGCAAGGTAGTCAACCTCATCCAAGAAAATATACTACAAGCACATGTCATCTACTGCATTCTCTTCTACT